ATTAATAGGGACTACATACTTTTTCAATCCTTTTGGCAAAAAACTGGTCTGATGAAAGATACATAAGGTGTTTTTCCACATTTCATTAAACCGCTTCTGAGCTCGATGCGATAAATTCACTTGATATCATAAAATAATTTTAAAATCTTGTATTGTCCCAAAATGTCCAAATTATTGTGTTCAAGTATAAATTACAATAAAACAAAAAGAGAGACGATGGAAAAATTATAATCTATACATCTGTAAAAGATTCGTTGCGATGCACAACTAGTGATATTGTGAATAGTCTCTTTTAAGTGCACCAGTTCCTTGAGTTTGGTTTTAATGGTTGGATGCTCGTATTCTAAATCAGGAGTGTCCGAAAGGTTCGCAACACTCAATAATCCACTAAATAAGTTGTTTATGGAATTTATTGCAATAAAGAAAGCTCACTACCTCTGGACAACTACAATACATAGTTCGTTCAAGGCAGCAATTTGGGGTTTAACGTCATCTTTAGGGAAGTAATCAAACAAATAATCTCGTGATGCTCATTCAGTGTGTGCAACGCGAACGCGGACTCTCGCTTTCTGGCGTCGGCGTTCCGGAAAACCGTTGGGGCAGATTCAAGTCCCCGTCGCTGAGGCCCCCCCCCGCCTTCTTTGCTGGTTCCTGCTGCAAGCCGGACGTCGCCAGCGCGTGGAGGGCAGGTTCTACCGCCTGGTGAGCGACCGGCCGATCAACTGGCACCAGGTGACGGGTGGGGTGTGCGTTGGTGAGGGCAGATCCAAGTCCCCGCCGCTGGAAGCCCCGCCCTTCTGCTGTTTCCTGCTGCAGCCGGGAGTCGGCCAGCGCAGAGGTGCTTCGGTTTATTTACGCTTGGTCGAGCGCCGGCCGATTCAACGGGCACAGGTAGCGGGTCAGGGCGGATGGACTTGGGTGAGGACAGAGTCGATCTCCATTCTCGGCCTTCTGCCTAGGTTCTGCTTGCAGCCTGTCTCGGCAAGTTGTTTCAACGGCCCATCAGGTGTACGAGCGTGAGATTATTGATAGCAAGAAAAATTACAAAGTCTGAAGAACAGTTGTTAAGCGTATAATGTCCATGGTAAACTGTCTGACGCAGGAATGCAAAAATTAAGGTGATGCTTTGGACCAGGTCTCAGAGTGTGTCCGTGGTGAACCGTATGCTCATTATTGGAAATACGATCATGTCACGCCATGTGCTTGAGAGAGTATGTTGAGGACAACCTCCGGCCATTGTATACATGATTACAGCGCTTAGCAAAATGGGCAGTGCCCTGAAACTGTATATTGGGAAGGGGCGTGGTCTTCCCTTACTACAATCTGAAATCTGGCGCCGCCTCGATTAGATGCGTAGCGAGTTTTCACCTTCAGTTTTTGCCCCCCCAGTAGAACTTCGCCTACCAGAGGTTAATCTCACGACTAGGTCTCCATCTTGTGCGATATTAAAGTTTGTTGATGTCTGTAAGGGACTGGAGGAAAAGGAATGTCCAGGAGGTCCAATGCCCTTTTGTTAGAAGCTATTTACTCTAGCATTAACCTGTGTGGATTGGGGAAACCAGGAAAAAAGTTTCGGTCCAGAAAGGACGGTTGCAACCCGTCCCCCTCTGTGGGTTGAATTTGGCCGACATTATGATGCCCTGTCGAAAACACGGCTCCTTGGAAAACACCACTCACGTAGTGGCGTGTGGTTGATACCTCACGTGTTGGTTGGTGTGTCTGTGTTCCCACGCCGAGGGCGCTTGCCTGGCAGCTGGTGGACGGGCATGAGCCCAGCCCGCGCGCGGCGACGTGGCTGCCCCAGGAAGATACACAGCAGGCGGCCCCAATGAACGAATCTGCGCCGAGGCAACGAAGCGGAGCGCCGTAACCGCGCGCCCCGCCCGATACCGACTCTTGCGGGACGCGAGCCCGCTCCCATCTTCCATTTGGCAGGGGGGGTAGAGTTCTGCGGGTCTGAACTCCCCGCCCGTTCACTGATATTACACTCCCGGCTCTTCGCCGACCGCGGGCCCCCCGCCTCCCTCATCTTCCAGTGAAGTTTGCGCCGTTCTTGCTCCCCCGCCCGTCACTTTACACTCCGGCGTCTTCGCGGACCGCGGGCCCGCCGCCCTCATTCTTCAGTGAGTTTGCATCTGACTCCCCCGCCGGTTTCAATACAGCTCCCGGCGCTTCGCGCCGACCGGCGAGCCCGCACTCCCTCATCTTCCAGTGAGTTTTTGGGTCTGACTTCCCCCCCGTTCACTTAACCACTGCCCGGCTTCCGCGACCGCGGGCCCGCCTCCCTCAGCTTCCCAGTGAGTAGTTTGCTCTGACTCCCCCGCCGGGGTTCACTTTATACCATCCCGGCTTATCGCGACCGCGGCCTGCGCCCTCATCTTCCAGTGAGTGTTTTCTTTTGTTTGACTTGATTGCATGCTGATCCCCGCCGTCACTATTACACTCCAGGCTCTTCGCGGACCGCGGGGCCCGCCTCCCTATCTCAGTTGATTTGCTTCTGACACCCCCGCCGTCACTATACACTCCCGGCCTTTCGCGGACCACAGGCCCGCCTTCCCTCAACTTCCGATGGACGCAGGGCTTGTGCGTCTGAATCGCCCCGCCGTTCACTTGTACCACTCCCGGGCTCTTCGCGGACGCGGGGCCCGCTCCCTTCTTTCCAGTGGAGTTCTTGAATTGATTCCCCCCCCGTTCACTTATACACTCCCGGCTCTTGCGACCCACAGGCGCCCCTCCCTTCATCTCCAGTGTGACGTTGCCGCTGACACGCCTTCCACTTAAACCACACTCCCTGCTCTTCGCGGCCGCGGGCCCTCCTCCCATCTTCCAGTGAGTGCATCTGACAACTCCCCGCCGTTACTAACACTCCCGGTCTCTTCGCTGGACCGCGGCCCGGCCTCTCTATCTCCAAGTGAGTTGCATCTGACACCCCGCCATTCACTTATCACCTCCCCGGACGAAAATCGCAAAACATTGACTGTACGCTCGGAGCTGTATTCTATCACATCTAACAGATACTATTACTCCGTGTTGAATTCATTACCATATAAGGAGTCATGTCACCATATAAAGGGAGTTTATGGAAGCGAAGATATTATCCACAATATTTGTATAAATGCCAATATTTAAATACATAATTATTTTTATTGTTTACATCTCCCTACATCACACTTACCTATAAATTGCAAGTACAGTGAAACACTGCCTCAAACGCCCACCTTATAAAGGCCCACCTTAATAGCAGCAACCTAATAAACCAAACGCTTTTTTGTGAAACGAATGATGTTCATAAGAGCACGTAAGTATTGCTCTCTCTTCTGTGCATCCACTTCGCTAATGGCCAGCGCGCCAGGCACTCTCTGTAGATGAAGTTTTATTAACCAGTCAGCCTAAGTGAGTTTGAATATATTTAATTACAAAGAAATAAGATTGCTGGAAGTAACTATCTTTCTACGTCGGACACATTGTCAGAATTTCGAGTAATTTCAGAGTCTTTGCTCGCAGAAGTTAATTTTGTTTCAGAATAACAGATATGTTAATAAATCGCTTACTAGCCACAAAAAACGTATTGTCACCCATTTTTAAGTTTTCATTAGTATTGCTACACATTGCTAACTCCCTTCGTGTGTGAATTGTTAAGAATCCGCGAGTATTTGTTGGCTGACGAAAGGCATTCGAAACTCTGTCGTTCAAATTCCCTAGTTTACAGTTTTACAGGCCCGCAGCAGTTGATGAACCGGTAAATCATTATCTTTGTAATTCATGTATTTTTTTGGATACCACTCTATAACTATCATTTTTACACGAGAAAAACCATATCAATCGTTTCTACTAAAATATAATTTGAAAAGTGGAGTGTTCTTATTTATTGCTTCTTAATTTCTTATTTTCTATATTTATGATAAGCTTCTTAAAATATCCGTTTTGCTCTTATCTGCAATATTAATTTGAAGTTTTCTTCCAATTTCTGTTTCCAATCCTTATAAATCAATATTTCTACAATACATTTTCATATTATTAAATTTTTTGTTGCCTATGTTCCATAATACAAGTTCTATTTAATCATTTTTGATTATACAGTCTTCATGTATACTGCCTGCCTTATATCGTGGCCCTTCACTACGTTTGTTATTTTATTCCTAAATGTTCAATTATGGTCAATGCATATTATTTCATTCGTCATTAATTTTTATTCCCATTCTTGCTTCCTTTGAATGATTAGAACATTAAAAACCCGCCCATACATTGAATATTCTACGCAACTAATCCAAATTACGTTGTGTATATATTTAATTTTCGAATTAGAGATCAGTGCCTCTTGCAACAAAATGTAGTAATTGATGCATGCAATAGCTGATGTTGAAATAATGAAGTTGATAATTTTTGTGAGAAACTCCGCCAAAACAATAAAAATTTTAAATTGAATGCCAAAGTAAATGTTCTTTATGACAGGAAACGAAAATCAGTATTTGTAGAGCTAAAATCGCAATCTCGAGCAACATTCATTGAATGCAAAAGCCGGTTACAGTTGTATTAAAGCGATTCCATCGCCAGTCCTTTTCGGATTTCGAGCGTATTGCGTGAGCTGGCAGCGTTCCCTTTGTGACTACGAGAACTGATCTGGCGCAGATTCCGGCGTGTTGAAGCGGCGCTATCGGGCCAATGTGTGCAGGATCGGCGAAGAGCACGCTGCGCTCTCAGTTTCCTGCCACCTTACAGCTTCACCCCAGCGGCGCCGCGCGCCGTCGCTTCCAAGCACGCGGCGGGCGACGCATTACCTCACAGGTGGGCGGCCGCAACATCACCGTGCACACATATTGCAAAAGTCTGACACTTCAAGTGATTACGTGACGTGCACGTGGACGTGTAACGTGACTGAAAACGTGGCATGGACGTGACGTGACACGTGAGGACGTGACCACGTGACCGTGACACGTGACGCGCACGTGACGTGACACGTACTGAACACGTGACGTGACACGACGTGGACACGCTGACTGGACACGTGCACGGACGTGACACTTGACGTGCATGTGAACACGTGAGTTGATGCTTGACACCGTGACGGACGTAACACGTACCGACGCACACCGCGCACGTGTACACGTGACGGCGACACGGTGAAGTGACGTGACACGTGACTCGTGACTGGACGTGACACGTGACGTGACGTGACGTGGACACGTGACGTGAGTGACACGTGACGTGATGTGACACCGTGACGTGACGAATCACTGACCGCGAAAACGCGACACGTGACGTGACCACGCCCGACCCGTGACACGTGACGCGGAACACGTTTACGTACCACGTGACGTTACACGTGACGTGAACGTGACGTGACACGTGACGTGACACGCTGACGTGACACGTGGACGTGACACTGACGTGGCCACGTGACGTGACACTTGACGGTGACACGTGACGTGACAGCGTTGACGTGACACGTTAAAGTTACCACGTGACTGACAGACACTGACCCGACAAAATAAATTTAACACATGATTTAAAACAAACTTGATTTGCGACGCGTGTCACCAATGTTGACCGCACAATGTCGCATTGTATGTGAGCAAGTATTGTAAATACGACCATGGCCCTATTAAATTCAGGTGTCAGATCGATAAAATGTGGGAAAATCCTGGTCTTGTAAAATTATGCAATTGTTTATTTCGGACAGGTAACTAAAAAGAAGTATGGCTCCCATGCGGCAAAACTTTCGATACTTTCGGATCAGCATCAATTACAAGAACGGAAAGCTTCCTCACACCAAAGTGATTGCCCGTAGGAAACGGCGAAGTAGCACCCTTGCGTACCATCTTCCTTTTTTTGTTGTACTTTGCAGACAGTCCATCGGAACGAGACATTTTAGAGAGAGAAGAGAATGAAATTGCTGACGGTAATTCGAAGCCTCTGTCCCCAGTTTCTAGGAAAATACTTTCCCCTTCGCGTGCTGTAGCGCGCGACGCAGCGTGATGCCGAATTCCCGAAGGCGGTACTTCCTCCTTCAGCTCAAATTGACGATGTAACTCTCACCCCACACTTTCCGCTTCATTCAAATTAAATCCAAAATGTTCTTCGTAGGTTGAGTTAGTACAGGAAGGATAAATAAAATTAAAAGAAACCTTTTCGAATTTTATTAAAAACAACATTGCACCCGCCTTCTGATTTGAGTAAAGCCGTAATTTAGTTGACTGCCAGTATTACTGTCAATCACTTTCTTCAGCCATTCGTTCATAAATAAAAGGTGTCATATATACAGGTATCATATTACGGTGTCATGATAAGGTGTCAATGATAAAGGTTTGTCGATATAAGGGTTTCATGATAAGGTTCATGATAAAGTGTTCACGATTAAAGGTTCAAAAGATAAAGTGCACGAAAAAGGTGTCACGATAAAGGTGTCATGTAAGTGTCAGGATAAATATTCATGATAAAGGTATCCACTGTTGTAAAATTATACCCATGGAATCAAAAGGGTTAATGATTCTGTAGAATTCATAATTGTAGTTAAAATACAAGATTACATTACATGAGTCTCTCTGACAGAACTGAAAACGTGAGAGTACGAGTATGAGTTAACGCAGTTTGTTCATCAAGTTGTATTATTTAATGTAAACTAGATATCTACCATTTTTTTGCAGTTTTTGTTATTTCTGCATGAATGCTAGAAGTACTGTACTACCTTTTTTTTCAGAATGTGATTGGTTGTACCAAGACTTCCTGTGTCGGGAGCCTGGCTCTTGTGTGTTAGCGAGTCCTGGCTACCCAGGGCTCTATCCCCCGAATCGCCAATGCAAATATCACATCACAACCAGTTCCATCCAGACACAAGTGCACATCAGTTTCACTTCTTTGCTCCTGCCATACAAGTGAGATTCGTTACTTAATTCTCTGCGTATGCATCATTCTATGAGTTCGACATTGACAATGACACGTGTCATTAAATGATTGAGTTTGGACAAAAAAACATGCAAATTCAAAAAAAAAAATATTAGCTGTTTCGTAAAATTTGGAAAAATGTATTACATTTAAGAATAAATCTTCTTTTTCATTGTTTTCGCCGATATTTTTGAATTAAATCAAGTAATAAAATTATATAATTAGTTTGGAGAATACAGTTAATATTTTTCAAATTCGCAGATCAATGGGTGTTTTGCAATTTGTTTCAGTCACTGTAGAACACACTACGTTGCAATATATCAAGGATCAACTCCTTCTAGTCCACTACTGAACACACTGTGTTCAAATAGAAAGGCTCAATTTACATATTCTGGGCCTAAACTGCTTCTTGAATTTAGGTATGGATATTTGCTCAATTCGCTCGATTGAAGAGCACAGCTGATGTGTTGAATAAATAATCCTTAAAATATTGTTAACTTTCTAATAATTTTCATCTTACTTGTTCTCAGCTCTGGGCCGCCAGTCCCTCCCTACGATTATAATGGATTTTTAGCAACACTAGAGTTCACGGAAAAGATTACTAGCACTGAGTCGTCCACAGGATCAATTGTCAAGAGTACGGAGCCCGGTGTAATGAGTAAGTAACCGAATGAATGTTGATATCACAGAGTGGTCATAAATTGTATATCATCGGTAGATAGTTTATAATAGACAAAATTTTTCATAACCGTATATTATCGCATACATATCATTATGTTATATCAGAAGTCACATTAGCCATGAAATGTTGTTGACCTGATATACTTTCATTTAGAGTGAGTGATGTGCAGAACGATAACGCACGATGACAACGATTTGCTTAGTTCGATTGTTAGTGATTCCGGGCGCATAAACTGCTAAGGCCATTCGTCCCGTAATTGTAGTGCGTGATTACCCCCGGGAGGTGACAGTGAACTTTCCTTCACAGGTGGTAATATCCGGCGCCGACCTACCGTTGCCAAGTGTGGTTTTCCCTCATTCAGGTTTCTCCCACCAGCGGGGCACCGCCCCAACTGGAACAAGCTCTAAGCGCCTGACCGGTCTACTGGGATGTTTGGTAGTGTAGTGCATGTTTGTGTGTGTGTGTGTGTGTGTGTAAGGGGTGATAATAGGACAAGGAAGAGGAAGGAAAGATTGCGCGCGGTCCCTGGCCCGTTTGTTATGGTGCTGTACCGGCATTCGCCTGGTATTGATCGGAAAGACCATGGAAAACTGCCGGTCAGACTAGCCGGCCACTGGAATTCTCCCTCAGGCAGCTACTGAACTCGAACTAGATATTTAGCTAGTGGGGAAAATACTACTAACGCGGGGATTCGAACCCTCCCTCCAAATCGCGATTTGCTTTGAATTTTCCAACAATAGACGTTCTTCATTCGAGGTAATCTTATCCTAATTACACGTTGGGCTCCTAATTTGTACAGACCAGGTGATTACGTGCAGAAAGTATGTCGTCAAGCTATTACACTTCTTGTACGTTCATAGCCACGTAACAATAATTCATTACAGAAAAATATATTTATTATTTGTTAATTGTAGCAATCCTGATACAATTTGTTATTATTAATTTTTGACATTTTATTCGTGTGTGAATAAATATCGGAAGAGCCCCTTTGATTCCCACTTTTCCAATCTTTTCAGCATTTTAACGTTCCTTCTTATGCCTTGCTTTATCAAGAAAACGGCAATTGCGCCTTCCGGAACAAAATAAGCTCATATTCGCATAGTGGCATGGTAAATGGAATGCAATTTATATTCTAAGAAAACAACTTTTTTAAATATTTATTGCTAGGGTTTCCTCCTAACTTTTTTTTTAATTCCAAAAACATTCACTGAGATATAAGTTTCTCTTAATATCATTCCCATTATCTAAGAGGTGCCTCACGAGGTTTCATAAAACATAAACAAATATTGTAATATTTTCGTAGATTGTTCAATGTAATAAAAATTGTAAAGCACTTCAATGCTGACTTCGGAAAAAAAACGGAATTTTCATTTCGTTCAATCGACCAGGAAAAATATAATTCCAGAGAGTGAACAATTATGAACAGGTGTCAAAGGAACAGAGGTCATAGCCGCTAAGAACTCTGTCTCATTGATACTAACTGTTCAATATCTTCACAAATTTGTAGCCCAAATAGAGAGTTTTTAAAACGTCGGCAAAGTAATAGTAACAAGGGTGCGAAACTGGTGATTCACGCACGATTCGAATTAGTCGTCCATGCGTAGCGTGGACGACAAAGAGACGAGTGCGGGAATTATATCGCGCCCGTGTCACGTATATTTTTTAACACGCCACGAGCGAAACGTAATGCGTGAATTAAAATAGCATAACCTAAATGTCAAATAACTAGAAATACATTATTTGTACGAGTACAAAGGTAAATGCATTTCAGTCAGTGTCGTCACAATATTGTTTGCAACAGAGATGTCGTCAAAATGAAAGACTATTGCGAAACATTACAGATGTTTCGCACACGCTTTGCGATGTTTCGCACACGGAAATAAACTGTTTCGCACACGGCATGTTAAAAACAATATTTTCCGGTCGTATTTGTCATAATATGAAAAATATGAAAGATAATGTAAAATTTGCGTCCGCTCTGGACTTTCACCCTCCTGCTCTTTTCCAAAATCAAAGGATTCCACTTTGAAATGTTTAAGAAAAGGTATTGTCTGGTAATAATATATATTTAATCTGAACATCTTTTCGATCGCATAGCTATCATCAGAGCTAATCTGAAATTTACAGGAATTATATGATAGAACCGAATACATGAAATTTAAAATGAATAAATTGAAATTGCACAAATTATTTACAAAATGTTATGTAACATAGTATCCCAGATACTATGCTAGCCCCACGTCGTCCCAGATGTGCTAGCAAACCGGATCGTTCATACCTTGCTGCGTCTGGATGGAAAACGAAGTTGTACGGTTTATTGAGGGTGCGACGCATTTAAGAAGACAGCTATTCAGTTTCGCTTCTGGAATAACATGTTTCTAAACATTTTGTAAATAATTGGTGCATTTTCAATTTATTCATTTCAGATTAGCTCTGATGATAGCTATGCGATCGAAAAGATCTTCAGATTAAATTCAATTTATTCTTCATTTTAAAATTCATTCCGTTCTACTTTCATATCATTCATGTAATTTTTTGATTAGCTCTGATGATGATCGCCATGTGATCGAAAATATCTTCTGATCATGATATATACTGACAACACGTTTTCTTTAAATATTGGAATATATCTACCTGATCAACGATCATCTTAATTTGAAATGTTTGTTTTGATATCGGGGCTACGTTGGCACCCCTGTGGGAGGCACGCCCTGCAGAAGCACCCTTCCCGGATGCCGAATGCTCTGTTGCAGTGGACGGAACAAGCGCCCCACGTCGTCCTCTTTCTCGTACAGGATGCGATCTGGTTTTCTCTGGGAACGACTCGCGCTCGGGCCACTTCGACACCAAGGACCGCCCCTGGAGCCCGCTGTGCACGTTGACCTTCGTGGGGCGGCCCACCGACATCGTGCACATTTCGTTGTTTAATTATCAGCTCCGGTAAGTTGCTACGAAAAAAAAACGCAGTATTGTAATAAAGTGTCTGGGCCGTGCAGGATGGTCGAGATCGTAAAGGTGGTAGTGCCGTAGTGATCCCGGACCGAAGAATCGCGGGATCGAGTCCCGCTTCAGGCATCATTGTATTTGCGTTCGTCCTTTCACCCCTTATCGTGTTTTCTTCATCCCACCACATCATGTCATCTTCATCCCCACCGTATGTCATCATCCCTACTGTATGTCATCTTCATCCCCAACTATGTCATCTTCATCCCTACCATATCATGTCATATTCAGAGTTACCATACCGTTAAATGCAATATGAAGTGTTCGTTATTAACCTAATGTTTATGCGACCTTCAATAATAAAAATACATGTCGGGATGCACGTTAAAAGTCACTGTAGGCTCCCAAAAATGTAAGTATGTACTTTTCATTACAGTGTTCAGCCTTTTGCAAATACAATTTATTGAGACTGCATTTCAAAGCAGGTTGAGTATATTTGTTTCGCGAAATATTTGCTACCATATAGCTAGGTATTAATTTTACACATTCACTATTTTTACATCACAGATGGTTATTGTAGAGTCAAAGGATTGAGAATATATCTTCCTTATGTATTTTTTTGTAATTACGTTAAATATATTCTATTGCTGTGCTCCAGTTTAATATACTCACAGTTAAGAATATTTCCGAGAGAATATGACGTTACTGAAAAATATATTGCTGTGTGATTTGTGTGTTGTTTGGTTTTCAAGATAAATTTTATCCAAAAAAATCTTCCAATAAATATGTTCTAAATTTTATTTAATTAGTGTATTGGAAGAGGAGCGACTAATGTTTAACCACCGATCGTTCCAGAGCACCTTCTTGTCAAACTGTGGCTGAAGTTTATGATGGATACGCCGACGATTCCGTGAAACCTCGACACCGCTTATGCAGTCCCCTCACAAAACACGCGCAGGACCCCAGTGGAAGGTTTGTATGGGGGATGAAAATCGTCCTTGAAACTTGACTTAACGACATTTCATCTTCTGTTTTGTTTCTATGTTCATGTGTAGTTAGTAGTATTGTTCGGTAAGTTTGAGTTTCATATTTGTTACAGAGTATATTACATGACTTTGGAGGGATTATCTTCAGGTCTTCAAAACACATCCAACTCCCTCATATTTCCCTCCCTTATATTTCATATCCCTCATATTCTATTAATATTAATTGTTTATCATACATTATTTGTTTTTAGTGTGATATACATAACTTATTTGTTTTTGTTACATTGAATTCATTAATTTCCTTATTCATCTATAAACTGTATTTCTATATTTAAGAAATACTTCATGTTCGTACAGGTTTCTTGAGCAGCAAACCTT